TTTTTAGTCGGTTTTTGATCCTCTTGCTAATGCCTTTTCTAGAAAATAATAATTATCGGAATCTAACGACATCATCAGATCGTGATGCACGTCATTCAGAATCGTCACATTCGCAGAGCTCTCAACGACTTCGACGAACAGAGAGTAGTATTAGTTCGGAGAGCGCTGTTTCGCAGGTATTTAAGCTTCACTTTTATGAATGGTTGTTCACAAGATTTCGTTTAGAAATCCTCCGGATCTGGTTCTGGGCATGGAAATGGTCATGTAAGTGTAGGAAAGGAGACGGTAGCCCCACCTCATGTGGAAAGGCGCCCTAAGCAGCCAACTCCACCGAAGAAGGAGCCGAAGGTAGGTCTTTCTTCTCAAATTTTGAGTAAACAATGGTCTCAAGATCAATAATATCGTTTTTCGGGCACGCCTGCTTACCTATTGTAACAAAAATGGCTTCAAAAAAAAAGCAATGACTGCGCTGCACCGAATTTTATGCTCGAAGTTATACCAAAAATTCCTAAGTGAAATTCTCTAAATGTATTCGCGCGCTATGCTTCCATTCTGTTTTTCAATAAGACTAACGAAGGCTGACTGAAAGATACAGTTTCTCTTGGATATTGACCGCGTTTCAGAAGAAGATGATGACTGAGCGCGAAATAATTGATGCAGCGGCGGGACTTCGTGCTCTAAAAGTTGGCAACAATGGGACTGAGATTGAAGATTGGATAGCAAGTAGGTCTATATTCATTATATTGAAAACTTTTCCGTGTTATCCTTTGAAATGCGGCATTCCAGGCGCATTCGTTGCTGATGATTTGGCTGAAAGCGTAGGTTCAGCGCTTTGCCAGCATGCCATTGAAGGAGGCGGTGGCCGTGTGGTTGCTAAACTATGTGGAGCCTTACGAGATGCTCCATCTGCTTATGCCCTTTATAAGGTAAAGGGAATATCCGTCAACTGCTCTATATTTGCAAGAATGATTTAGGGACTAATGTCTTCCATTTCGCAATATTTCGATTGTCGTGATCGCCTTCGCGCCGACCACTTCCGCATGTGGATCTCGTTTCTTTCTTTTGTGGCCGATTTGTATGCAAACATTGGAGGCGGAAAAGATGGTCTGTTAAGATTTTACTTTTTTTTT